CTCTCTCTCTCTCTCTCTCTCTCTCTCTCTCTCTCTCGCCGTTGCCGAAACGTAAATACACGGCACAACCTCCGATAATCCGACCGAGACTCGCCTCGCCGAATGTACGAACAGGTTCCAGTAGCTGTTTTACGGCCACGCGGACTAGGTACTTAGGTATCTAGGGCTCGTAATTTCGATGAGAACTCATGAACGGTAACGTCGAGATCGACGGAATCGATATCTCCGTCAGCGAACGCAACGCTCTTCTCTGCATCGGTTTTCGTTCCAATCCTTTGCGCTCGAATGGCGAATGACTTCACCTCGTTTCGCTAGCCCTTAGTTAGCTGTGCAACCAATTTTCTAGATAGAGGAAACCAGGTGGTCCCAAAAGTGATATGTTGCTCATGTGCTTGTTTTTGTAGTGCTTATGTCTTGAGAAGAACAGTGGATATACGTACAAAATAGCGAATATCCTCTTAGAACATAGATACTTATTCCTGAGCTTTATTAAAATCAAAATAACGTTACAGTTAACAAAATATTAACAGAGTAATAATTATTGCTGATTATGAATATGAAGTCAAATGTGTAAAATTACTTGTATAAATAATAAAATGTTTAAACAAAACATGTAAAAAGTTGAAAAAAATTACCTATATAAATATATACAAAATTATTTATACAAATTTATACGAAATTATTTATACAAATAATTTCTCGGTTTGGCCGAGATTCGAACCTTCAGCAATATTAAATATTAACAGTTAATAGAAAAAACTTATTCAGTAATGAATGTTAAAGTAAATATTGAATTCTCTCCAGAAATTTATTAATATTCTCCATTATATTTCGTATTCTACTTTGTTAAAAAGATAATAATAAAAAGGAAAATAATCTAGATATAGAATATGTCTATTTAATAAGAGAAATCTATTAAGCAAAGCTATTAATCAAAGAAAATGGGTGAATGAATGACCGACGTCTTCCGCCGTCATGTGCATTGGAGGTCAAACTGAACGAGAAAGTCCCGTGCCATTTTTTAAATGATCACGTGGTTTTGTAGTTATTCATTGAAGAAGACTTGTATACATAATTACGCGCGATAATTCCTCACATGTCAACCGACGCGTGTCTCGACACGAGATCCGGCATCGGAATGACTCGCGAAGCGCCCGACTAATCGGTTTGCCGAAAATCTGATTGCGGCGGACGAAATCCCGTTCAGGCTTTATCCCGCGCCCGAACGATTCTCGCATCGCACGTCTAAATTGAAATTCCGATGCGATGGGTGTCGGACGTAATACAGCATAAATACGGAAAGGTTAAAGTACGCTTCGGCGAACTCGCGCGAAGTGTATATCTCGCCAGAGCATACTTCCGTAATAGTTCCCGCGCGAGTAAAGACGGGGGGACGTTTACAGTGAGATTAAAACGGATACATTTACACGGATTAACACTGATGATGAGCTGTGTGGAGCTGCAAGTTTCTCTCTCTCCTGCCCCTCTACCCATCTCTTTCCCTCTCTCTCTCTCTCTCTCTCTCTCTCTCTCTCTCTCTCTCTCT